TGAGCTTGAGGTCTCCTAACAATCTAATTATCCCAAAGCTTCTTATCTGGTCTTTCTTCCATCTCTTTACAACTCTTCCTTCTCTGCTACCCCTCTCCCCCAAATTAAAAAAAAAACAACAACTTTACTTTACTTTGATTTTGAAACTACAAGTCATATAAGATGCTTTGATGTGAAGAAAGGGCTCAAATAAAACCATCCAAACCATGACAGTTGATCATACTACAAAAAGATTTTTAAAAATCACTCTGCAGAGCCATATAGAATTGGGTGCCAGGTTTCTACCAAGTGAGAATCACTAGTTCTGATGAAATGATAAAGGGAAGTTTTTTCAGGTAAAATGCTTCGATGTAAATATTTTGAGTGTTTTATACTCTTTCTGAACCCAGCAAAACTAGTTTATAAGTCTGGGTTATTTGGTGTTACTCATCTTTTAATTATATAGCCAGTTATTTTCACAGGCAGTCAATATTTAAAATAATACCTTGGGTTTCACTTAACAGGGTACATCTTCTTATCCTCATTTTGTAAATAACAATTCCCTAGGTAAAGAGTTAAAGGTCACTGGATTTGGTTACAAATGGGAAGGCCTAAGGGAATTGACTCACCAGCTACAAAATTGAATGGGAAGGACAAGTGTTCAGTGACATACTTGATCCAATTTATTATTCATGCACAAGACCAGTGTCCCAGTTTGGGTTGGTCAGCAGTCAGGATATTTCTAACAGACTGAATTTTTGTCTTATTAATGTTTATTTGGTGATCATACCTAATTTTTTATGGCCCTTATTCACTCTGGTAAAGTTTGTTTGAAATGGCAAGGGGGCCTAGATTTTACATCTGTGCTTCTCCAACTATCTCTGAGGAAGACCTGTTTTCTCCCTCATCAGCCTTGAGCCAATACTTAAGTTAAATAAAATAAAATAAATTACTAAAATCAAAATTATGCCTTTAGTTCTCGCAGCAGTATCAAATTGTCCTAAAGGTTTCCAAATAGTTACTCTCAATTACTTGCAGGCTGGTTTAAAAAATTATAATAATAAAAAAATAGCTCTCAGACTGACTGGCCCTTTACCTTAAGAGAGGAGTCTCAAGCCACTGTTTGAGAATCTCTGCGCCAGACCATGCTTATTTTTGTCACAAAGATCTTCAGAAAAAAAGAACCTGGGCTTCCCCTTTTCTCCCTCTGATGATTTCTTTTTTT